ACGCGGACCCGTTCGCAACCAGTTTGGGGGGATGTCTCAGGCGGTTTGCTCGTTTTCATGCCCAACATCCTGGGCGTCCAGAGCAGATTTTGAGGATGTCTCAAGCGGGGCGCTGGTTTCAGCATTTCCATGGAGAACCACACGGGCCCGTCCGCGGCAATTTTGCGGGGATGTCTCAAGCGGTTTGCTCGTTTTCATACTGCGAGGAAGGAGATGAGGCGTGCTGTTCCCTAGGGTCGTGCTCGGGTACGAACCCTCAGGGACGCACGGAGGAAGGAGTCGAGGCGTGCTGGTCCCTTGGGTCGTGCTTTGATTCCGCTGACACAAATTCGGAGCACGTCATGTTAATAAATGCATGCGCGTGGTGGATGTGCACCTGCGCTGCGAGCGCGTATGCTCGCCGCTCACATGGACGCGCTCGTGGAGCAAACACTTATCATAGACAAATGCTCGCCGTGGCACTATCATACAACATGATATGCACATATGGCCTTGTGTGGCTAAACGCTCGTCTTACACCACTGTCAACTATCCTGAAACATATGCACATTACCACTGGCTGAGGAGGGCACGGCCTGGCAGCTGAGGAGGGGGAGTGAATGGGAGGCTCATCTTCAATCATACTCAACGCTCACTGTGACTCATACTCCCCCACTCGCATTAGGATTCACTCGTCTTCGTCGGCCCTGTCGCCCATGTGGACGCGCTATTATAGTCAAGCGCTCATGAACAGACGCTCGCCGTGGCATGACATAAAACATGCGATGCACAGATGGGGAGCTCCACGCAGTGAGTAATTGTTCCCATTTCCGGGTAATGGTCATTACTCAAAAAGGAGGGCGGGGCGGCCGGGAAGGTAATGGTAACGGCGGCCGCGGCGTGCACCCGCCAGGGTGCGTCCGCGCCACCGGCGCATCAATAGCCTGTGCGCGCCACAATTGCGCACGAAAGGCCCAATGCACGCGTGCAACACAGCGCCGCCTGTGTACACCACAATGCCTCCCTACACTACAACAGCCGCGTGCACCGCAGCATCACGTCGCCCATGTACACCGCCGTGCCTGTGCACGTCGCCTATGTACACAGCAATGTTTGTAAACTGCCGCAGCCGTGTGCGCAACAGCGTGTGTACACCACATTGCCGTCGTGCACCAGAGCGCTTGTATACAACATAGCGACTGTGTACACCACAGCAACCATGTGCACTGCAACACCTGTGCACGCCACAGTGCCTCCGTACACCACAATGCGCTTGTACACCAGAGCGCCAAACGTGCCAGCGAACACAATGATATTTTGCGAAGCTTCTTTGTGTGGCTCAGATTACGGAAGCCCTCAGGGCTCGTCATTCGTCCCCGCCCACTCCTCCTCCACCTCCTCATCCTCCCCTCCTGCGTTCCTCCTCCTCCCTCTCCTGTTTCTCCCCTCTTTCAACGGTCTCGGCGGCCTTCGTCCAGCTCGAGGACGGCGAAGTACATGAAGTACCATGAACGGAGGTGGGCCACAATATTGCCGTGGATGCCCTACCTGCCGAGTACCATCCACATCCATGAGCGCACTGAGGTGGGAAAGGCAGCCGCGACGTCCATGCTGACAAATGCGGGTGCTTCTTGGTCGGCAGAAGGCAGTATGCTGATGCGGCGAACCTTCGTTTTATGGTGACGATGTCTCTTGGGAGCTGCCGGCCGCTGGCGAAACTCTGCTGCTCGGGAGTGGTTTCGGCGGCCACTTGTGGCAGGGTCTGTTCGTTGCAAAGGCAATGGCCTCGATGTCGGGGCTTGTCGCCGATGCTGGGCGCAGGCGCTCAAGCGCGCGGGTGCGTTCCGCGTCGCCGTTCTGCTCGCCGTCCTTGGGGGGCGTGGACACGAGGGAATTGTTTAAGCCGAAGGGGGCGGATGGGGGCCATGATGATGTGGTCGCAGAGCTCTGCTAGCACATCGAAGCTCTTCAGGGTGCAAAGCTATCCGCGGCGTGGAAGGCCGTCTGGTCCAGGGGCAGCGTCGCCGGCGAAACGGGCGGACTGCTCGAGGCTGGCGGCGTCGGGGGTCGCGATCATCCGCGCGGGCCTCTGCGGGGGGGGCGCGGTCCAGGTTGGGTGGCGACGGCAGCGTCGTCGACGTGCTTGGCGGCGAAGATCGGCCCCAAGTGGTTCGTGATGGCGACGCGCGTGGCGGCGGGGTCTCTGAACGTGGTGTTGGCGTTGCCAAGCGGTATCTGGATCCCAGCCACCTCGAACCTCTTCAAGAAAGCTTCCACCATTCACCCTTGCGGCATTTTTGCGGGAGCGCTGGCGCTATCGATCGCCGAGCTTGACGTAGTTCTCGGCGCGGGCATCTCGTGAATGGGCAAATGTTTTGACTTTTCTCTTCGCCGGAGAAAGGCCGGCGTGGGTATTGTCGGGGTCTGTCTTGAAGGCGGCGATGTCGATGACTTCCACCCAGCCTTCAGCGACGCGGAAATGCTGTGGCCCTATGGTCTTGTGGAGGATCAGCTTGCTCGCTAACGCTGTCTTGATGCCATGTCGCCCTCGCGATGCTGCGGATTGCGCGGGCCTCTTGGGGGTTCCTGAGGGCTGGCTGGACAGATCGGCGGTCTGGATAGAGGTCACCGCGTCGCGCGCGCGTCTAGCGGCCTCGCGCATGAGCATCTTCATCGTGCGCCACTTAGCCGTGACATTCAAGCTGGACAGGTCGGTCGCGCTCATAGGAGAGAAACATGGTGCTGGTAGTACAGCGAATCGAAAATGCAGGCGGGGGCGCCCCTGTCTCGTTGGTAACGCTCGCGTGCAGGGCGGACGCAGAAGTGCATGGCCATGCGGTCGCTGTCCACGCAGTTGGCCCCTCGAGCCGCGCCTCGTTGGCGGTGGGCGCCGCCGTCTCCAGTGGGGCGCGGCGCGCGCTGGGGAGGGGGGGCATCTGTCGATTCTGGACTCGGTCAGGCAGGTGGTGCACCTGTGAGTGATCGATCGCGCGGTGATCCCGACCATGCCCAAAAACATGTTTCGACATAGCGCGGCCTGGAACTGGTGCCTCTGCTCAGCGACGGTGGCAGAATCTGCAAGGGGGCGGAGGCTCATCGGCGGGTGGTCGAAGATGTTGAGGTCGCCGAAGGCGGTCAGCGCGCGTTCCAGAAGGCGTTCTTCACCGTGTTCGTGCAACGTACGCCGTAGCCGAAGTTTCGCACGGTCAGCAGGAAGGTGGTCGTGGTCCTAAGTCCTAAGCATTTAGGAGATGTCGTGGCGCCGCTCGATGTCGTTGACTCGGGGCCACGGTGCTCGCCCCCCGGGGTGGTCGTTCCGAAAAAGCGAAACGGTCGGACTTCGGGTGGGCGGCTCAGCTCGGCCTTGCCAACGGGGGCGAGGAGGCCAACGCCGCCAACCGAAAGGTTGTTCGGGACGCCAGACCGGTGCCCGGCTTAAGCGTACTGGGCGGAGTTCGCGAGGGGGTGCATGTCGCACTCGGATCCGTGTCTCATGTAAGGCGATCGCAGCGCGTTGCCTCATGCGCCACAGGGGGTGGCGGCGTTTGCTTAGACCGTCTCGGTTTGAAGCTACCCTGGTTGTTCCAGAACGCAACGCGAGCGCCTTCCTGCGCTGGGGGGTGGATGCGCGGGGTGGGAGCCACTGCGCTGCAGCAAGAGCATCTGCGAAACTTTTATCGAACGCGGGCGTGAGCCCGACGGGTGTTGCACCCGCGGGCCATGGGATGCGGGCGCGGCCATAAGCTGTAACACCCTCATGAAGCTGCATCAGTGCACTGCCCACGTGCGACGTGAAGCCGAAGCGATGGTGGATGCGAATGTCGACGGCTGGGCACTTGACGAGCATGATCTTGGGCCGCTTTGTGCTACTTCTGAGCCGCTTTTTGATTCGAACTTATCGGCGGGCGATCTCGGGGCTGCTGTCAGCAGAGACGATCAGAGGAACAACAGGAACGGAGTCCAGCTTGATGGCGAAGTCTCGCCAACCACGTCCTTCACGACAAGCTTTGTGGAATCGTCGCGCACGCGGCTCAAGCGCCACCGTGCCACCGGTGACCATGAAAGATTGGAGCTTGGCGGTGCCGGCCGTGTTGAGCAATACTTAGCTGGACGTAACTTGAGCATGTTTGAACCAATCGATGAGGGCGGGCTTGGCGTCTTCCGTTGTGTATGATGATGCGCATCCGCGCCAGAATGTGAAAAAGGGTCCGCGTCGCGGTTCCGGGTGCCGAAGGAGGCGATGTCGATGTACGGGGACCCTAACCCCAGCAGCATCTGCAACGGGTTGAAGTTGGGCAACAGCGGCTTGTAGTTCACAGTTGATTTGATTGGAATGAACCATGCAGGACTTGATGGCGATGACTGCTCCTTCGGTGCGCCAGTTCTTGGAGAAGAGGTCGGCAGCAATCTGAATGACGATCTCGACGAACTGGGATGTGGCAGTGTCTGTGGCGGATTTGGCTGCGGCCTCGAACCTAATGGCAGTTCCCTGGACTTGTGCGGCAAGAGCATCTCCACATTCCTTACGAAAAGGGGCTGGTAGTTCCCCGATCGGTAGCTTGGCGGCGGACTCGGCCCAGGGGTCGGGACCTCGCTGGGATGCTGCATCATCTCCTGCGGTCGACATGACGAGAGCGATAGGTAGTCCGCGCAAGCCGCAGCAAAGAATGGGCGCTTGAGATATGTAAGTATGGACATGGAGGCCATCGCCGCGAGAACGGCGAGGCGGCAAAGCTGCGTCATGCGTTGGCCCTGGACCAGGGGTCTCCGTGCACTGTCACGGAACGAAGTCATCCTGAGCCAGGAAGGCTGCGGAGGGAAAGGGGGAAGAGGGAGGAAGGGAGGAGGGAGGAGGGAGGAAAAGGAGGGAGGAGGAGGAGGGAGGGAGGGAGGGAGGAGGAAGGGAGGGAAGGAGGAGGGAAGGAGGGGTAGGACTAGAACTATATATATGTATATGTAGATGTGTATATATATATATATATATATATATATATATATATATATCAGGACGCCCCAATCGCCAAGGCTGGGGGCCGCGCCGCCAGGGGCGTCCGGCCGCAGCCAGGCGCGAAGCTGCGACCCCAGCTGCGCCACCTGCCCGACGGCGGCGGCGGCGCCGGCGGCCACGGGCTGCAGCCAACCGCCCTCGCAGGCGCGCCTGCCGTCGGGTTGCGTCTGCTCTTCGGGTTCGTCCAGCTCGTCCCCGTCTTGAGACTCCTCCTCCTCCTCTTCCTCCTTCTCCTCCTCCTCCTCCTCCTCTCCTCTTTTTTATGAATAACTGAATCCCTGTCGCACACAGAGACGGGCTGGGCATGTCGCCTGAGACCGCCTCACCACTTATGATACTTCAGCTGGGAGTGTGCACGAGCCTCACGAATGGAGGGCGGGCCGTTTTCAAAACGTGGCTATAGCGCTGCGCGCGATTGTTTGCTTCTTCAAAAAATGCGAGAGCTTCTGGGTTGGAAGGCGGTACCCTTTCAAAATGTGGCCCTCGCCTTAGTGCCGTGCGCGATCGGTCTAAAACAACACAATATGTTCACGCATGGAGGGCGGCACCATTTCTAAACGTGGATCTCGCCTCCGCGCCGCGCACATTCGTTTTGACAGTTGGCAAGAGCTTCCCGGATGGAGGTCGGTACCTTTTCAAAATGTGGTTCTCGCCTCGGCGCCGTGCGCATTCGCTTTTACGAACTTATCGCACGTTCACGGGTTCTTACGGTTAGCGTAAGAACAATGTTTTGGCTCGATATCCCAGGAACGGTGTTCGGTCAAGGCTCAGGATCGTCAGGACGCAACAATAACGATGATCGCGGCGTTGAAGTCCCGGGAATGGTGGCCTGGAACGGTTCTGGATTTTCAGACGGTTATCTTCCAACGGGGCAGTCCCGTTAGTGAAAATGAACCCTTGTAGGGACCTGTGAAGAGTGAACTTGGAGGGGTGGTTTATTGCAGCATCGTTGATGATCCTTTGTTTTGAACTGGTCCTCCTCCTCCTCCTGTTCCTCGTCCTCCCCCCCACATGGGAACACATTCTTCTTTGACCACCCCTGTTTCACCCCCCCCCGCCCTCTCTCTCCCGCCGTGACCTTTCGTCTAACCTCATCCTCCTGCTCCTCCTCCTCCTCCTCCTCCTCCTCCTCCTCCTCCTCTTGCTCCTGCTCTTGCTCTTGGTGTTCGTCCACCTTTTCTTCTTTTCGTTCGTTCGAACTGCGGCCGAGGGGGCGGAGGCAAAGTGTAGGATCGGTCAGAGGACCCCCAACGCTCCTCCGACATGGGGAACTCCATCGCCTCCTCCTCCTCCTCCGCCTCCTCCTGCTCCTCGATCCGCTCGACGCTCTGGCTTCTCCCCGGGACCGCGTTACCCCGCGAGGAGGAGTTTCCGCCTCGATCCTGTGGTCCTGGGATCCCCTCCTCGATCCTGTGGTCCTGTGATCCTCGACTCCCCTCCCCCAGGGGGAGCCTGTGCTCCTCCGACATGAGGAACTCCACCGCCGCCTCCACGCTGGAGCACCTGCAAGGTCTGGGGTGGCGAGGGGTGGAGCGCCGACCCCCTTCCTCCGGGAGTTCTCCGGGAGGAGGAGGAGGAGGAGGGAGGCGGGGGACGGATGAGGAGGGAGGGAGGACGGGAGGACTAAGGAAGGAGGGGGGGTGGAAGAAGCCTGACACGCCCGTGCGTGATCGGGTGCTCGTCAACGGTGGCGCAGTGACCAGGGGGTGAATTGGGGGGGGGACGCAGTTTCGGGCTCCGGGATCCCTTGCCAAGCCGTCACAAACTTCGAGAGGAAGGGCCGGCCCCGGCAGCGCCAGGATGCACAACGGCGCCATGCACACATCGGGCCGCATCGGACCGTCGGAGTATCTTAACCCGAATCGGATCGGGCTGGCCAACATCGATATCGGACGGGATGGATCGGATCGAAATGGACCTCTGATGGGTCGGGACCTCTGGCGGTCCACGACTTGAAACATTCACGACGTGAGAGATCTGGGGTTGTCCAACACCGGCAGCGGCCGGGCTTGGGCAGGCGGCGGCTGCCTTAGACGAGCAACGCACACACGTCCAGGACGTCGAAAGCCCAGACGTCCATGTTGGCAGGGGCGCATCGATGCCGTATTGGCTTTCGATGGCAGGATGTGGCCTCCTTCATCGGGTTGCTATCAGCCAGCTGGGCGGCCTCGTAGGAGTCTATAGTAATAGGAAGATTAAGGAAGAAGGGCGAGGACAATGACCAGGAACATACAATTATACACGCAAAAACACTACTGCTAAGAAATTTAAGGCAGTCAGGAAGAAACCGGAATAGCATCAGGACTATGACTACGAGGAGGAGGAGGAGGATGATACATAAAAGCATGATGATGAGGCTGATGATGCTGCTGCTGCAGCTGATGATGATGATAATGATGATGATGATGCTGCTGATGATGATGGTGATGGTGATGACATGGTGATGGAGGGGGAGAAGAAGCTCATGGATGGAATAAACTCGGGACACGATAGTGGCTGTGTTGATCGGCGGCGGCGGCGGCGCGATGTAATGTCTCTTCGATGCCATCAACGAAAGAAAGGTGATCAGTGTCCTCGCTTGGCGTTGGAAACGATCTCCGCCCGCGAGCATCTGGGAGTGAAGCATGCCTCAATGAGACTGCGGCCGCCTGGCCGAATTTCCGAGGTCTCCTCCTCATCATTGCTCGGACGTCCATTACCTGTACATTTTTCGGATTCGTGCCTGCATTGTTTCGCAAAGAGAACAAAGATGCTCCTCGATGGTCCATGCCGAGAGAAAATGCACACGTCCGAGCGATGCCAAGCCTCCTTCTCCTCCTCCTGCCAACAAACGTCTCCGAGGGTCTCCAGGGGGTCTTCCGGAGGCCTTCGGCAGTCCCTTGGGGGTCTCTGGAAGTCCCCAGGGGCCTCTGGACGCCCACGAGCTGCCAGAACCGGTCGAAATGTTTGATTCCTATGCTGTTTTGTTCTCTCTTCCTCAGATCAATGCCTCTCACCCTTCCATCCTCCCTCCCTCCCTCCCACCCTCCTCTTCCTCCCCCTCCTCGCCATCCTTTGTTTTTAGTCTCGGTAATTTCCCCTGTCCTCCTCCTCCTCTTCATCCCTCCCTCCCCATCCTTCCTCATCCCCTACTCCTTCCTCCTTCTCCTCCTCCTCCTCCTCCTCCTCCTTCTCCTCATTCTCTTCCTCCTCCTCTGCCTCCTCCTCCTCCTCCTCTTCCTCTCCATTCCTCCCTCACTCCCTCCCTCATTCCCACCTCCTCCCCTTACTCATCTTCGTCCCTCCTTCTCCTCCTCCTGACTGCATCCCTTGCTCTCTCCCTTCCCCCCCTCCTCCTCCTCCTCCTCCTCCTCCTCCTCCTCCTCCTCCTCCTCCTCCTCCTCCTCCATCCTCTCTTCCTCCCTCATCCTCCATCTTTGTTACAGAAAATCCTCCCCCGACCCCGCACTCGAAGACCGCGGTGCCCCCCAGCAGCACACCCCGCGGTCCCAACCTTGCGGTCCTGCCCAGGGGTGGAGGAAGGAGGAAGAGGATGAGGAGGATGATGAGGAGGAGGGGGAGAAGGTGTAGCTGGAGGAGGAAGAGGAGCAGGAGGAAGCGGAGGAGGAGGAGGACGTGTATAGAGAGTCGAAGGTTTGAGGAGGGTCGATGTCCACGGTTTGTGGGGGGGAGAAGGAAAAGGAGGAGGAGGAGGAGGACCGAAGAGGAACACGATGAGTAGGAGGAAGAGTGAGTAGGAGAAAGAGGGTGAGGATGAGGAAGATGGATGAGGAGGGGGGGAGCGAGGGAAGAGCGGGAAGCGGAGGAGGAGCATCGAGGGTCGAGGCCTTCGACCTACGATCCTCCTCCTCCTCCTCAACCTCTTGCTCCTTCCCTTTCGACCGCCTTGGATTCGACCTATCATCCTCCTCCTCCTCCTCCTCTTCATCCTCCTCCTCCTCCTCCTCCTCCTCCTCCTCCTCCTCCTCCTCCTCCTCCTCCTCCTCCTCCTCCCCCTCGTCCTTCTCATCATCTTCCTCCTGTTCGGCCGAACGCACCCCGAAGTCCGAGGCTGTTGGGCGTCTGTCGGCTCGAAGGCCGCGGTTGTTGGTCATCTCTCCGCGGCATTCTTGAGAAATTCGGGGGGAGGGGTCGAAGAAGAAAGACGAGGACGGGGAGGACGTCGACGAAAAGCGAATGCATCCCCGGGGCCTGTCCTGGAGGGCGGATTCTGACCACGATCTCGACGTGAGTCCTTTGGGGCCAGCTGTTGCGGCCAGGGCTCCCTCCGAGGACCCCGACTTGTGTAACAAAAACGGCGTCTTCTCTCGGGCGGGTGACAATGGAAGGTGACCTACAGTCGGCCCGTTGTATAAGGATGCGCGATACGGGTGCAAGGGCCTTGGACGCCCATTTCGAAGCTTTCGAGCGGGGCGCGGCCAACGAAAGTGGCCAATGATGGACCGAGGAGGCAAGGATGCAAGGGTACCCTTGGGAAGGTTGCCCATCCTTAAATGCGGGTTGACTGTAAATAGGGGGGTGACGAGAATGGCCCTGATTGGAGCGAACGGGGCTCAAAAGTGGCCCTAAAGAGCCCTTTTAGGGACTTTCTTCTACGCCCTACTTAGATAGACCATCTCCTCCTCCTCCTCCTCGTCCTCGTCCTCCTCGTCCTCCTCCTCCTCCTCCTCCTCCTCCTCCTCCTCCTCCTCCTCCCGCGCCTCTCAGCGAGCCGCTCCGTCTGGAAGGCCCGCTTCTGCGGGTCTGCGATGGCCGGAAGTGTGAAACGCTCTGCCGAGGCACGGCTCGGCCACAGCCTCGGCAGAGACCACTGACAGCGAAACGCTATCCACGAAGGCGCCCCAAAAATGGGGTTTTCTGCGAGGCGGCCCTCCGGAAGAGGCTTGGGAACAAAATGAAGCCCGAATCTCGGGCTGCATCCGCGATTCACCTGCGATGACCAGGGGGAAGCGCCGGCGGGAAAAAGCAAGAGGAGGGGGAGGAAGAGGAGGAGGGGCAGGGGAGGGGGAAGAGGAGGAGGAGGAGGAAAGAAAACAGACAGAGGAACGGAGGAACCGGGAATCACACACAATCTACGGCGGAAAGCACATTATCTTCCGCACGCGATGTTTCGATGGGGCGCGTGATTCGGGAAGTGCACAGTAGACAACACAAGCACAAGCACAAGCATAAGCACAAGCACAAGCACAAACACACTTACAAGCACACACATGCACATCTATACATACACGCATACCAATCGAAATGCTCATGCTATTTTCCAGCAGGGGCAGGGGATCCTTCTGTTTGACGACGGGCAACAACTCGCCGAAAAAGGACCAGCGTATAAAACAACTGAGTCAATCGCCAGGCTGGCCAACTCCACCCAAACCCAATGTATGTGACCTGCGTAAGCGATTATATTTAATTCGGTCATGATCTACCACGCCAAAAAAGAACGAACTTCTTGGGGCACGTTTGGGCGATCAACGACCTCCAAAAGCCTCCAATGGCCTTGCCACAGAGCCCAACATGAGCCTTTTTTTTTCCGGTCGGGCTACAGACACAACCGCGAGGATGACACAATGACGCAAGTCTTTGTCGAAAAATGCGAACCAGAAGGACGTTTGTCTTGTTTGTTTGGTTGTTTCCTCTTTTTGTCCCGCAGGCCGTCCCCCATTGACACATGTCAATAACAATCATGGTACTATCTCTCCGCGATGTCAGATGTGAGATCTCTGGCAGCTTCCAAAACATATTAACCCGAGGATTCTCCAGGGCGACGGGGATCTGTCGTGCCCAGCTGAGACGAATTATTCTCAGCGTGGCCCGCACCACTGAATTAGCCGCCAGCAGCTGAGGGTGATCAGCCGCTTCAGGGATAACCCACGGGCAGCTGGCGGACCTCAGTGCTGCATGACGAGTTATGCTGAAGGTCGTGCTAGGCGGCGACATCATCACACAATCGAAATGGGCACGGCGGATCTTCCTGAGCAGCCTGGCGATAACCCGTGGGTTGGTGTCGTCAAAACTCGGGCCGCCAAGGCGCGGACCTTCGACTAAAGCGACATGGCCAAGGATGTCCGCCATGCAGCGGAGCCCCTGGGCGTCGAGGATCTGGCGCCGTCCTCCATGAGGCACGCAGAGGCCTCGCGGGACGTCGCTGTCGGGCGCAGGAGCGTCAACGAAGTGCATAAGAGGGGCCGCTGGAGGTCCCGCCGCAGCGCCGCCCGCCACGATATGACATGACAGGTGTCGAAGGGCTTCCTCAAGCTTCGACCAGAGGTGCGAAGGAAGATGCAGTAGGCGAGGGGAACCTCGACCAGGTGTTCAGCGGCGCCAAGCTCGGGCCATGGTGATGCTTGATTTGTTTGCTGGAGTCGCCCGTGTGCCGACAGCCTTCACCGCTCTCGGCCAGCAGGCGAGCACCTGCGCGCCACCCCTCGAAGTACTTCGTCACCCACTGCAGCTCGGGGGCGCCTCGCATCGCGGAGTCGTCGAAGTCCCTGGTCTTGGTCGGCACC